GTCCAAGGGGAGGAGATTATTTAAGGGTGAGGGTCATTGGGGGTCATTTTAGAATTCTGCCTACCACAGTCAGGATTATCAGGAGCTCCATTCCAGTTGCCGGCCACTCTCAGGCCTTAGGCATCATTGCCAACTCTTCTAGAACATAACTTTTTTCTAATACCCTGCCAAAGGGAGAGGTAGGCCTCATCTCTGACCTCCTCTAACCCTACAAGAGAAAGACAGAATCATCATCAGTAGCCCAAGGCCTATTCCTGCGAGGCCAGGAATGCTGCCTCCCTCCAGCCCTTTCACCAACCCTGACACCAACTGTTCCTCCCACAGCACCCACCACCTTTCTGCTGGGTTCAATAATTCACTGTAGTGGCCCCACAGAACTCAAAGATTATAGGGTTTATTAGGGAAGCAACAGACCACAATTCAAATTCAGGAACATGCTCAGTCTCTCTCAGCCTGCCGTCTCTCAGCTGACAGTCTTTCTCAATCTCTCAGCAGCATGTGTCTCACGTATCTCTCAGCAATGTGTGTCTCTTGCATCTCTCAGCCAGCAGTGAGAGATTTTTTCTGCCTCTAGGAGGGTTCCTTTTGAGCCTGGCAGAGTGACCAAATTAACCAATCCCAACATCAGAATCCTATACACCTGAGAGAGAGTAAACTTCCCAGAAAATTACTTCATGCTGCTCCCAAAAGAAATACCCCAGGTGGATAACTTTAACAATCAGGAGCTACTCAGTTGCTCACTGCAAATTCCACCACAGAGTTTACAAAGACTTATGGCGAGAAAAGCCACACTACGTAATTTACTGGTAGTATAGTGCCTAAGGCACTTGACTGCTAACCAGAAGGCTGGCGGTTCAAATCCACAAGCCACTCCTCAGAAGTAAGATTGGGCAATCTACTTCCATAGAGATACTGCCTTGGAAAACCAAGTAGGGGTTGCTATGAGTCGGGGCTGACTCGATGGCACATAACAACAACAACAACATGTAATTTACTACACCGCATACCCTCATGGACAATTCAGCTTCAGCTCCTACTCTGGTCTGGTTTTGAGTTCTCTTTTCATTTTTACTATCTGAGATTTTCCATTTCTTTTATTTTTTTTTTCTCTCTCTTTTTTTTTAAATGCATTTTATTGAAATATAATTTATGTATAGTGAAATACACAAAACTAAAGTGAGTGACATGGGTCAATACATTTTTTTTTCCAGTGTTCCCTTCCCTCCCCTTCCATCCCTGGCAACCAACAAAGAAAGTTTTCCTCCCTATATAAACCTTTCCTTGACCCTCCACAACAATGAACTAATACTATATTTTTCCTTCTGTGACTGACTTATTTCACTCAGCATAATGTCCTCCAATTTCATCCATATTATGCAGTGTTTTGCAGACTGTATATTATTTTTTAGTGCTACATAGCATTCCAGCATGTGTATGTACCATAGTTTGGTCATCCATTCTTCCACTGATGGGTACGTAGGTTGTTTCCATCTTTTGCTACTGTAAATAGTGCTGTGATGAACATGAGCGTGCATGTATCTGTTCCTATCCTGACTTTCACCTCTCTAGGATATATACCTAGTAAGGGGATTGCTGGGTCAAATGGTATCTCCAATTCCAACTTTCTAAGGAATCGCAATATTGCTTTCCACAGTGGTTGTGTCACGTCACAGTCACACAGGCAGTGTATGAAAGTCCCAATCTCTCCAAATCCTCACCAGCATTTGTGATTTTCTGTCTCATTGAACCTTGCCATCAGTGCTGGGGTGAGACAGTATATCTTATTGTTGTTTTGATTTACATCCCTCTGATGTCCAATGATTCTGAGCATCTTTTCATGTATTAACTAACCACCTGAATATCCTCCTTGGTGAAGTGTCTATTCAAGTCTTCCACCCATTTTTCAATTGGATTGTTAATTCCTTTGGTGTTGAGGCATTGGAGTTTTCCACCAATCTTAGAGATAAGTCCCTTGCCAGATATTTAATTATCAGCAAATATGGATTTGTTGATGTCATTTTTGTCATGTGCTTTTTCATTGTGTCGATTTCTTTGTTCCATATAATTTTCTATGCTGAGCTCATTTTGTTTGTGAATCATGTTATCACTTCCTTCATTGCTATTGTTTTAGTATTTGCTGAATATTTATGTTGGTCTTCTTTTTTATTTTGATGTGAAGGTTTATCATTTTTCTTTGAGGTTACCCTGTGATTTATAGTTTTCTTCCCAAGTGTAGAATAGTCCAATCTATCTTGTAGTTGTCTTGACTTCCCTACCATCTAAAAGTTCTGTAATGACACAGATTTTTTCCCTCTTTTTGGTTTGTAGTTGTCCTCATTTGTCGGTTGGTGTCTCTGGTTCCCTGTTTACAATCTTGTAGGTTTATTTACTTGGGATACATCCATAGCTGGGTTGGCTTCTGAGTTATATCATCATGTGTGTTAATGATCAGTTGTTGTTGGCTGTTGTTGCTTCTCTGTCCAAAGGGATCCCTTTAGCATCTCTTATAAGGTTGGTCTGGTTTTAACAAATTCCCTTAATTTCTGCTTATCTGGAAATGTCCTAATATTCCCATCATATTTGAGGGACAATTTTGCTGGGTACATTATTCTTGGTTGGAAATTTTTCTCTTTCAGCGTTTTATATATTCCATCCCACTGTCTTCTTGCCTGAATGGTTTCTGTTGAGAAATCTGAGCTTAGCCTTATTGATTGCCCCTTGTAGGTAACTTTTTGTTTTTCCCATGTTGCTGTCATGATTCTTTTTTTGTCTTTGGTTTTGGTGAGTTTGATGATGATGTGTGTTGGTGTTTTTCTTTTGGGGTCTATCCTGTTTGAGGTTCGTTGGACTTCCTGAATGGATACCTTCTCATCTTTCATCATATCAGGGAAGTTCTCCTCCAACAAATCTTGGACAATTTTCTCAGTGGTTT